ATAAGTTTTGGAGTTATAGGAAAGAGAACTAATGAGTTTAGAGAAGTGTCGATGCCTTGGCTATGCGTGGTCAAGGGTCGGCACAACAGTTTGAGGCCTTGGGTACAAAGGTCAAGGATCGAATGTCAAGTGCCATAGAGAAACGTCGAGGCCCTGGGTACAAAGGTCAGGGGATTGATATGACTCGAAGGAGTAAGTCTTTGAGAAACAAAAAAACAAACTAGTGAATTGAGGTGCGAGGATAAGTTTGGCTTGTAGGTTGCATGTTTAGATATGTTTATATTTTTATTATGTAAAGCATGATGATTTGTTATGCATGTCGTTTGAACTTTCTGTGGTAAGCATGTTGTTTGTGTGTGACCCTTCAGGTAAGAGCTGCTTACTAGGTATCGTGGTTGTACTCACCCTTTCTTTTTTCCTCCAGGTTTTGTAGGTAACAAAGTCGCTCACGGGAATGGTGCTGGCGAGGAGGAGGCTTGACTGGAAAGATCATATAACATTGCATTAATTTATTTTCAGTTTTAGTTATGATAGTTGTAGTTACTTCATTTTATAGTTGAGATGCTACTAGTTGGTGCTGTTTAGTTTTCCTATTTATGTACTCTATTCGAGACCCTAGTTGTACAAAGTTCAGATAGTTGGCAAAGCTTAGTTTGATTTATTATTGAGTTTGGTTCCTTGTTAAAAGTTAGGTTGTTGATTCCATGGATAAATTGTTTAAGCTGGCTTGCTCGGTAATTTTCTAACTTTAAAGGGTTGTAGTTTGATAGATTATTTAGTTGGTTTGTCCGTATTAAGTTGTGGTGAGTGTTTAAGTCAGAGCAGCACAGTGGAAATGTGGTAGTTTTCTGGCTTAGTCTTGGTTGTTGAGATTAATTCTCTTGTTTAAGTGAAAATTTTTAGGTAGTTTTAGTAATGGTCACCGTTTGGGATGTTAAAAATCCTAGGACGTTACAATACTAATGATAGATGATCTTAAGTTCGTCTTGCAAGAGGATTGTCCTCAAGTTCCTACGCCTAACGCCATTGTGGCGGTACGCAACGTCTATGACCGATGGGTCAAGGCCAATAATAAGGTCAAATTCTACATCTTGGCGAGCATATCTGATGTGCTTGCTAAGAAGCACGTGGACACGATCACCGTTAAGGTGATCATGGACTCACTGTAGAGCATATTTGGATAACTGTCCTTATAGGCTAAACATGAAGCCCTTAAGTTCATTTACAACTCTGGCATGAAGGATGGCTCCTCAGTGCGAGAACAAGTTCTCAACCAGATGGCCAACTTCAACGTGGCAGAGTCAAACGAAGACGTCATAGACGACCAGAGTCAGCTCTGATTCATTCTGGAATCTCTTCCAAAGAGTTTCCTACCATTCCGCAGCAATGCGGTTCTGAATAAGCTGGATTACACTCTTACGACGTTCTTAAACAACCTGCAGACCTACCAGTCTCTTATGAAAAATAAGGGACAATAAGGGGAGGCAAATGTTACTCGGAGTTCTAATTTTGGGTAAATAAGAATTAAGTTTAACTCATAGAATTAAAATAAATTAAGTTTTCGAACTTTGGAAGAGATTTTTAATTAAATCTTAAATCCAAGGTTTTTGGAAATTTAATTTCCACTTTTTGAATTTAACTCTTGGTATTTAAGAGTTTAAGTTCCTTATTTTGTTATGGGTTATCGTGAGTTTTAGTTCGATTACTAAAGTTGAATTTTTGGGCTTTCTTTTAGATTTTGGGTTATTGGGCTTTCTACTTCTTCAAAGCAAATTATATGAAAACAGCTTGAAAAAAAAGGTTTGTAAAAGAAAACAAAAAAAAAACCTAAACATCTGATCTCTTTCTCCTCCCTTTTCCTTGTAATCGTTCCCCCTATCTTCTTTTTCCTCTCTGGTAGCCCTTGCCGGTGACACCAGTAATGCACTGCAGCAGCGTCCCTCAAATTGGCGATGATCACATYTGCAACACATTGCTCTCGAACCCGATAACATACCACGACACGTAACCTGTCCTCTGGTGGCTTTTCTGTTAGAACTGGCGGCGGTAGCACACGACCCGACAAACGTACAGTGTCCCAGATCGTATCTTAGTGGATTACGGCATTCCAGTACTCCCCATGGCGGTGACATCCCAACAACATGCAGCAGCTGTTCTCGCTAGATCCAGCTGTCTCGACACGGGATTTCCCCTCGGTGTTACGTTGTTCGACGCCCCGTACCTGAAACACCCTTCCTTGACATGGATAGAAGCGACGAGCTCGTGTTTGGCTTAGATTTGCGGTGTTTTCTTCCTCCCGACGACTTTCGGTGTTGACCCACACCTAAATAAAGCTCAGTTCATGATTCCCACCCTTGTACGAAGCCGATTTGCGATATCCACCCTCTTCGGCATCTGTTCGGCGCTTACTCACACCTTGTCTTCATTAGTTTTACAACGCTCCAACGCGTTCGCCATCATTCAGCGAGGTTCTATAGGCAAGGGACTCCTTGAACACCCTTTTGGATTCAATTTTAGTAGCCGAAACTAAGTTGTAACATTCTGGATTTTCTTTTTTTGCCTAAGTTTCGAACCAACGCAAAGGCTAGGAGCTTGTAGGCGTGTGTAAGTAGCACCAAGGGGCGGGTGCGAGCATTAATGGGTGTTATTGATGTGGTTTCGTGCTGAATTTTGTTATACTTGTGTATCTCATCTATTTTGATTTTGTTGTGCATGGATTGAGGGCTTCTAGTTATTATCGTTGGGCAGCATTCGTAATGTTTTTTTTGTTCTTTTTTTTTCTATATTATGAAAATGTTGTGTATCATGACTAATGAATATGATTTGGGAGTTACAGATTGGTATGGTTGGAAGTGATTAAGCTTTGATGTCTGAAAGCATGTTTGGAGATTAAAATACACGTGTTAGCTTTCTGCTATTTAGTTTTATGTTCGCTTAGTTGAAATATATTGGGTTGTTTCTTTGTTCTATACCATGAAAAGCATACTGAAAAGTTTTGTTGTCATTATATGTGTGAATGACTTGTCGATGCCTTGGAGGGATTGGTTGGAGTAGGCTGAAGTGATGGGACAGACTAGAGGTTTCTCATTCTGTGATTTATCCGTGGTAGTAATGTAAACCAGTCATTTGGTTGTTCGAAGTCGTTATTGTGGGTGACTTGGAAATGATATGATAGAATCTTAGTAGAGGACCGTGATTCGAATGTGTGGTCTATCGTGTAATGAAAAGTGAGTACAGGAATGGAATGGCCTTGGGGGCAAGTAGTCGAGGCTGTTACATCACTACTGGGTGTCGAAGCTCCAAGTACAAAAGGTCGAGAGTCGATAGACCATTCTTGGTAAAAATGAATGTTGAGGCTCCGGGTACAAAAGGTCGGGGGTCGGCATGATGAGTATTGGGTCTTGACATGGTGGCTGTTGATGACCAATATGCTATGTAGTCGTTGGGACCTTGGGGATAAATATCAAGGACTGATGCACAATTCGAATCATTGGGGATAAATGTCAAGGTCGAAAGCCAAGCTTCTGTGGAAGAGTGTCGGGGCCTTGAGGATAAATGACAAGGGTCAATACGATTCGAAGAGTTAGACTTGGAGGACTAACAAAGCGTGATGAGTTAGAAGTAGCCTGGAGGAGCTCAGTTCGGAGTTTTGGGAATAAATGTCAAGGTCGAACGCCAAACTTCTGTGAAGGAGTGTCGGGCCCTTGAGGATAAATGTCAAGGATTGATACGATTCGAAGAGTTACAATTGGAGGACTAACATAATGTGATGGTTTAGAATCAACTTGAAGGAATTAGAGACCAACGGGCCTTATGGTTGAAGTTACATGAGTATGGATATATTGGATGCTTGTGTATGTGTGTTGATTAACCGTTATGATCTATTGGTGCACGATTACTTGTTATCTAATTGTGAGGACTGTTGCGATTTCGAACATGTTTTGATATCGATGCATGTTGTTGCGATTACATTGATTGCATGTGTGTGTTAATGAGCGTTATGATTTATCGATGCGTGAATGCCAGTTTGATATTTTGAATGAATATTTGTGCTGAGCATGTTGTTTGACAGCACAAACATTCGTTACAAAATATTAAATTGGCATTCACGCATCAATAAATCATAACACTCATTAACACACACACATGCAATCAACATCGCGACAAGATGCATCGATATCAAAACAACATGCTTGAATCGCAATAGTCCTCACAATTAGATAATAAGTAATCGTGGACTCACGTAACTTCGACCATAAGGCCCGCTGGTCTCTAGCTGCTCCAAGCTACTTTTAACACATCACACTATGTTAGTCCTCCAAGTCGAAGTCTTCGAATCGTATCGGCTCTCGACCTTTTGTACCCAAGGCCCCGACACTCATCTACAGAAGCTTGGCATTCCAGTTTGACCTTTATACCCGAGGCGTCGAACTGTGCATCGACCCTTGACCTTTTATATCCAAGACCTCGACGTTTACTAGGCATATTGGTCCTTGACCGCCACCACGTCAAGACCTAATACTACTCATCAAATAGACTCATCGGGCCAACCCCCAACCTTTTGTACCCTGTGCCTCGACACTCATCTCTACCAAGACTAGCTTATCAACCTCTGACCTTTTGCACCCGGAATCTTGACACCCTAATAGCCTTCACCATTTGCCCCCGAGGCCAATAAACTCATCTATCCATATTCTATTACACGATAGACCACACATTCCAATCATAGTTCTCTACTGTCACATAATTACCAAGTCACCACAGTAATGACTCCAAATCACTACTGTTTCCGCACTCCAACATATCACAACATATCCTCCAGAGCAACAACAAGCTATTTGCACTTTTAATCACAATAAAGTTTTTCAACATGCCTTTCATCCCACAAAACAAGGAAATAACTCAACAGCTTCCAACTAAGTAAATATAAAACTATATAACGTAAAACTAACACATTCATTCAATCTCAAAACATGCTTTAAACCACTAAAGAGTAATCACTTTAAATCATATCAATCAGAAACCTTCAAGTCATACCCAACAATCACGATGCAAGACATTTTCATAACATATATAAAAGAAAACAGCAGGATGCAATTCAACAATATCAATTCGAAATTTACAAACCACGTCCAATACTATTAAATACACGAGACACACGAACATAATGAAGTTCAACATGAAACCATCCAATAACACCCAATAACACACACTCGCCTTTCAATCACGCCCCTAATTGTTGCTTCGATCCCACACACCTAAGCATTAAAAAAATGAAAATAGCAAGTTAATTGTATGTTACAGCCTTCGAAATCAATTATAAGGGGGTTCAAAGGGCTCGTTACCGCATAATCGACTTCATTTAGGTATGGGTAACTTAAATCTAGCTCGAAATGATGTGGGTAGGGTACATCGGGCTTCGAACGGATGTGGGTAATCGCCAAACACCACAAACCCTGCTGTTTGTATTTTACAACAAGGGAAAACACTCCAAATTCGCCTCCGACTCTGATGGAACTAAGTAGGAGCACTAACCACCAAGTCTATGTTATGAGTAGTGGGTCACTTCTAAAAGGTCGAGACATCGCCAAACACTCCAAACTTGCGCTTCACGTTGCTTGCAAATCCGCAAACCATGGCTGCAAAATAAAGAGCAGGGGTCAGCACAAGGTCAGAGGAAAA